AGCCCTAATTCCACGGCCAGGCAAACCACTGCCAGGTTGGGCAATCGCCCTAAACCCTAAACGGCCATTTAGGTGTAGTTCTCGAAATTCGGGTCCCTTTTAAGGTCATCCTTATAAGGGTGCCGTACCGTTTTGGAGACCTGGTAGGGCCCTCATTTAGAAAACTACCCAGCTGGTACAGGGTTTAGGGGTTTAGGGTTTAGGGTTCAGGGTTCAGGGTTCAGGGTTCAGGGTTTAGGGTTTAGGGTTTAGGGTTTAGGGATCAGGGTCCAGAGTTCCGGGTTTGCGGGGTTTTAGTTCAAGAGCCCCTCGGCTCGACCCAGATTTTTGTTTCATCCTTATATTTGCCCCTGGACTACACTCTAACAGCCGCCCTACATGAAAGACTTAAACCAAGCTAAAAGAACCACCCGCACCGGAGAGGCTTTAAATCTGCAAAAGCAGCCCCCAGATCCTAATCCATGGACCCCCAAGGGGTTGAGAATTTTCGGGTTTCTAGGTTTATGTAGGGTTTTAGGGCTTATAGGTTTAGGGTTTAGGTTTTAGGGTGTAGGGTTTAGGGTTTAGGTTTTAGGGTTTAGGGTTTAGGCTTTAGGGTTTAGGGTTTAGGGTTTAGCAGCTGCTGTGTCAGGCCAACGAGATACGACAGACCTTACAGCTCCTCCGGCATGCACCGGAGTAGTGTCGAGGGGTTTGGACATTACGCAAAGGTTTTTGCATGTGGTCTGTCCCCCCTAAACCCTGAACCCTGAACCCTAAACCCTAAACCCGAATCCTAATGTATAGGTCTGGAAAGTTATGGGTAGCGCAAGCCCTGCAAGCCCCGCTTCATAGGACGCTTCCCTCCTCGATATTCTCCTTTTTTTTCTGCCTTCGGGATCATGGTTGACCCTTAGCACCGAAGGACTCATGTTTTAAGGCTTTTGGGCAAAAAGACCCTATCATATACGGCTTTTGGGCTTTTTGATGCTAAGGTTTAGGGTTTAGGGGGCGTTTGGTTACATGGCCCCCCAGGGCTCCCGAACCAGTAGGGCTCCCGAATGCTTCGTCGATCCTACAAGCCTTAAGGTGCATCAGCCGCTGAGAAATCCGTCGCACGTTTTTTTTTTTCCTCCAGTTTGTGTAAAGAGGGTGTTCCCCATTATTCATAGTGGGGTCCCCCTAGGCCCTAAACCCTAAACCCTAAACCCCTGCAAGCCGGTAGCGCTGGCAGTAACCACACTTGCACAAGCTGAAGTGAAGCTTCGGAAGGAGCCACAGGCTAGAGACGCTAGGACGGTATAAACGGCCCTTCTATCCTCTCTGCCTGCAGGCTTCTTGTTTTCCCCTGAGCATTCGTAGCTGTGGTGTAGCCAGCAATGCGTTACAGCACACAAGTGATTCACTTGCATGCCCCGTTCCCTCTTCCGAAACTTTAAATCCTCACTTTTCAGATTCCTCTCGTACCTCACAGTCTAGAGGTGGAAGCCCGTCTTGACGTCGCTTTCGTGCCGATCTCATCTGATCATCTTCTACAATCCGCCATTGATGTTGCATCTGGTAGTAGAGCTCCATTTCACGGCCACCACCACTCTTTGTCAAACTGTTAGCTAGCTGAGCTTCTGAGTGCACCCAACGGATGATCAAGTCTGTGCTCTGTTGTGATTCCTTTAAACTCATCAGTTCCAGATCTGTTCGGCGTTCAGCGCCTTTGACCACCATGACTTCTGTGTGCAGCTTGTCGTAGACATTGCGCGAATCTGTCACTAGGCATCCGATAACCCTCCTTGCTACTTCCCGGGGCTTCCTAACATCAGGAATTCCATGCTCCAGCTCACTCCACTGGTAACGGGCAAAGAACAAAGCGTCCTCTCCATTCACCGCTGACAAGGCTTCGGCCGCCCCAGGTGACCTACAAACCCTATCAACCTTTGAAGAGTGCCACGCCATTGGGGACACTTTCCCAATCGCTCCTCGCAGCATCGCCTTTGGTCCTAAGCCCACAAAGATTCCCTGAGTGCTGCTCCCGTCGGGACGGTTAGTGTTGCCTGCATCTACCCAGGCATACATGGCCAACTCTTGGTCCTCAGGAAATGCATGTATCAGCATCTGATGCTCTTTTCTCTGTCGCACATTCTGTACTAGCTGATTAGTCTTGATGATCGTCAACACCTGGCTGGTAGCAACCTCCGACAGTAAGAGGCTGATTTCCGCCGAAAGATGTGGAGAAGTTTGTTGTGCCAGCCAACTCAAGCTTCCTAAAGTTGCACGCAGTTGACTCTTCTCTTTCTCACTCGTCGCTTCTTGCCGCTGTCGCTTTCGACTGGCATTCAGAGGTATCTCCCGCAGACCCTCCACGTACTGAACCTGGCTCAAGGCAAACCCCCCTTTCACCTTTTTCACTTTGACCCCACATTGAACAAACTCATCCTGTTCCCAGTCCCCCCATTGGAATCGCTGCTTGATTTGTTGAAGAATTTGTTGCCACTGTTCATCCTTGGAATCCCCGGCGAACAAGAAGTCGTCCACATGGCCGGATATGATCCCTCGAAGCTGGCCCTTAACTCTCCAAGTCCACATGCATGCGTCGCTCCAGGTCCTTTCCAAACCTAGGCTTGCCAGGAACTCTGAAACAGACCTGTACCACTCCAGAGGAGCGTCAACCAATCCGTAACAAGCTTTCTTCAACCTGGAAACACTTCCCCGAGGCACCTTCATCGCATCACATATTTCATCACAGGGAATGCAATGCAAGACCGAGGGATACTCTCGGCTCTGGAGGAATGCTCCAGACACATCTCCTTTATGCACTGTCCAGGATCGGTTTGCTGCCTGTTGAAGGAGCATTTGCCGGGATTGGCGGGACATGACTGGGGCTGTGGTGCTCCGGTGTTCATAGGCCGGGTCTTGGTAGCCTAATAAGACCGTGCGGGCTTTGGCTTTTCGGGAACCGTCTTCACGTTGCTTCCAGGTTAAGATCCATCTCATCCCGATAGCCTGGGCCTTGCTGGGTCTCACATGATCTGGCAAACTTTCAAAAGCCTGAGCAGCTATGAAATTCCGAACCTCCACAGCCTTTGCAGCCGCAAACTGTTCCCTCTCTTCAGGGCTCAAGGTCTTCTCCCTCACTTCAACAGCTCTGCGCTTCATGGCTCCAACCATGTAGCAGGATAAATCTGCCACTGCACGCTGCCACCCTCGGTTGGTGTGTGGCATCTCTATCTCAACTTCAACGCTAGCCCTCTCATCCTGCCAGAAAGCCTGCTCACATTCAGACCAAGCCTGTTCCTTGATCTGAGCCCACCAGCACTCTCCAGTCTCTTCAGAGATCCGTGGCCTCTGTCGGGAACTCGAGGAAGGAGTTCGCACCTCTGCAGGAATGAGTTCCTCATCCGAGTCCTCAGCTGGCGCCTGAGTCGCGGGTCGTTTACCTCGAACCCTGTGCCGTGTTGGTTGCCTCTCTTCCGAAGGGTCCTGTGATCTCCACCATTCCGCTTCACTAGGGCTGTTGGCAGACACATCTTCATACTGATTCCCTCCAATCTGCTCAGCAACCCTATGAAAACTCCAGGGGGTGGCGTCGGTTTCAGCCAAAGCCTCAACCAACTCCTCTCTTTGAGAGGCTCTCCGAAGCTGTTCAACACAACACTTCACCAGCTGTCGTCCCCGTACACACCAGACAATAGAACCTGGGCGAAATGTACCATCTGGGTTCCTCCGGTCCTCAGTAGCTAGGATCCTTGCGGGTCCCATAAAGTACCCCCTCTTGGATCCCGGTCCCTGCCTGTTCTTCGAGGAATCCTGTTGTCGCCAGTAGAACACAAGTTCTCCAGGATGGTAATCCATAATGGGACGGCTTCGGGAGTTTTGGGCCCGGTTGAGCCTTTGCCTTGCGTTCCACTCCGAATGGGCCTTCTCCGCCTCAACTCTCCTCTGAACCGCCTGTTGAAACTCAGTAGTGGGGTTCTCAATGAGGAGTTCCGGGGGAAGAGCAGGAGTCACAACATCAATGCGGCCAGTTTCATCGGGCACCTGTCCCAACACATGCTGAACTGGCGAGAATCCCCGAATCAAGTCCCTCAGATTGAAGATCCTTACCGCCGTTGCCAGGGCCTCCTCTGCACTGATGCTATCCTCTGCAGCCGCAAGCTTATCCATAACCACCTTTAAGCCTTGAACTGCCTGCTCGCAAACCCCAATCCTCCAATGAGCCTCACCAGGGACCAAGTCCAGGAAAATCCCGTGTCTGTGGCAGTAGTCTGACACTGCCTCACTCCGGAAGTTACCTGCCGGATCTAATCTCAAGGTCCTGGGATTCCCAAAGATCTGAGCCCATCCTTCTCGCAAGTAGGCAATGCAAGTAGCCCCCGAGGGCTGCTGCTTCGCTCCTACCGAAAGGATCTTGGCAATTCTGAATCGCGACCCTTCATCTATCACTGTCATAAACTGGTAGTGCTCTCCTGACTTGGGATGCCGCCAGTGGCCGATGTCTGCTGCCGCCGTGTGGAACTTTGGGGGAAGGGGTTCCAGAGATGCGAGGTTTCGGGGGGAAACCTTCTTCCTTTCCTCACAGATTGAACACCGAAACTCAGCAGCCAACTTGAGAACTTCGGGCTTGGCATTCCTTCGCTTCAGGGCATCCACTAGATACTTGGTGGAACAGTGTCCTGTTGCAGCATGCAGAAGATACAGTTGCTTCTTCAGTCTCTCAACCTCTTGTTTTCTGTCTCTCTCACTCGAACCCACCGCATACACTCCTACAGCAGTTCGGTTTGGCTGAGGCGGCAAAGGGAATCCTGTAAAACGCAACTGTTGCAAGCTGTCAGGGCTCAAGTGTCCTTGCGCGCGGCTGGAATAAGCTGAAATGATCACTCTCTCTCCACTCCACTCTTCTGTCGCATGCCAGGCCTTTGGAGGAAACTCCACAACCCTGTCCTTCGTATCGAACACTCGTCCCCACACGGTTTCCCCGTGCGGTGTACATCTCGAAGTGAGAGCCGTTCGCTCCGTCACATCTTGATTCAATCTGATTCCTTGCGTCGTCTCTTGGACCCAGAGACCTCCTCCGGAATATGAGCTGACTCCTACCACAAGGTTGGGTTGTTGTTCCTGATTGTTCACATCTCGGTGCAAAGGCATGCTGTTGTTCACATTCACCACCAGTGACGTCCACTTTCTACTGTTGTTGGTCTTCTGTTTCATGTACATGTTCAAGTATTGCACACACTTCGGGAATTGGTTGGTTCTGTTCGTGATGCCATACTGTGCCCCGTGGGCATAAGCACCAAAGACGAAGTACTTCACTTTATCGCTACCCAACTGTCCCGGCCTAGCAGCTTGGGGCTTCAGGGGGAGACTTCGTATGAGGTCTTCGCAAGCCTTTGTGCTCCAGTCTTTGGCTTGGAGAAGTTGTTGAGCCCGGGCTTCGGCTTGTTGAACCTCGGCTACACTGTAAGCTTCATCAACCTGAGGTTCGGGTTCGAAGTCCTGGGTAACCAATTCCTGGGTTGCCTGAGGTCTAGGGGGCCCTGAACTCCCTGAATCCTGACTACCCTGTACCACCAACTCCCCAAGTAGGCATGCGCCGCACTTGCCGGGTGTCTCCCTTGGGAGCTCTCGACACTGGCACATCATGCCTTCTCCGAACACTTCAGGAAGACTAGAACTTCCTTGACACTCTTGTTGCACTAGGTACGACGTGAGTTCCAGAGCCAAAGCTTTAGCTACTCGGGAGGCAAAACTCTTCGTGTACCTAGCACTACGCGTAGCCGTCTCACCTTCACACTTTCCATGTTGGTAATTCTTCGCACAACAACACTCAAGATGCATCTCCTGGGCCAGCCTACCATGTGACGTGATCAGCTTCCATCCCTTGCGCACCAGTCGGCTACCGTCCTTGTCTCTAAGTCCTACCCTACAGCCATGCGTGACGCAAACATGAGGGTCATACCTTCTAACAAGCTCTTGCAGAACAGGAAGCCGCCAGGCATCAGATCGTTCGGACATCTCCCACACACAATGCACACCCCTCTGCATGCAAAATCTGAAAATGATTGCAGCTCCTGCGTAGATACGTCGTGCATACTCTCGCTTCCTTTTTAGCTCCTCGGACTGTTCAGGCGTCCGGCTGTTGGTATGCTGTAGCGGGGAGAAAGGTCCGCACGGTGGGGACAACCACACCGTGCCTGGATTGTCGGAGGCTATCCTCTCCAACACATTTCGCACTCCGGCTGAGGTACTCAAATCGGCCCCATTCCACAAGGAAAGTCTTTGGGCAGCTCCGGCCCAACCTGTGTACTCTTGTACAGCTGCTGACAGGAAGGAATCCGAATCACAACACACTTCCAACAGAACAACACACTTCCAACAGAACCGGCCTATCATAGCTCACCAAAGCCTGAAACAACCCTGGCACAATGTTCCGTGATTCTTCTTCCAACTGACTAGCTCTCCCAGCGCTCATTGGAACGCCTTGAGCTTCATACGGCAGCTCAGTACTGAGAGCACTACCCGTGCTCAGTCCTTGTCCACCTTCGTGTAGCCCTCGGACGTTGTGTCGGATGCTGCCACTCGCCCCATGTTCTTGGCGTCCTTCTTGCGTGGTCGCTCCTCCTTCTCCTCCTTGAGGTCCTTCATCTCGTGTTGGAGGGTCTCGATGGCGCCCGACAGCTGTGTCAGCACCTTGGCCAGCTGGTCCGCCCGAATCGGTGGACCATCCGAGGATGTTGCCGCGTCCTCGTCGATCGTCGTGGGAGGCGGCGACTTCATGGTCGTCTTGGGCTTCATCATCATCTTGGCCTTGGGCCGAGCTGTCCTCACAGGCGAATCGGCTTCCAACGCTGGGGGATTGTTCCGGAGCCAGTTGGCCAAGCGGACCAGGCGATAGTCGGCTCCCGGATTTTCCTGTGCCGTCTGTAGCACCCATGCTCGGTAAGACGGCTGGTAGTGGTTGATGTCCTCGTACTGGAGTCCGCTGTGCTTGCCGAAACCCACATAGTCCTGGGCATGAGCACGTGCCAAACGGTGGGCTTGCTCCACCGCTCGACGCTCCAACTGCGCCAAGGTCTCGTTCCCTGTGAGGGCCAGCTGCAACTCTCCTTCGCATAGGGCCACCATAGTCTGCTTCTTCTTGCTGGCCTGGTTGATCTTCCTGATGAGCCCACGCAACTCGGTGTCGCGATCTTGTCCTCGTTGATGCTGGGCGAGCTCCGGGTCGAGCTCCACGATCCTCTGGCGAAGCTCCACCTTCGTCCAGCGGTTGGGCGGGTCCTCGCCCATCTGGCTCAGCAGCTCCTGCAGCTGCGCTTTCTTCATCGTCGCGATGCTCATGTTGGTCTCGGCTCTCTGAGGCGTGGGATCCTTGATCTTGCTTCGGGCCGGAGTGGCTGTCACGTGAGCTTCGTGGTGCTTCACACAAGAACTGCTCGACTGGATGGTTGACAGCATTGCTCTGTGATCTCATCGACATAGAGGATGTAGTTGAGGAATCTGAAACTCTACTCTCCATGCTACCACTACCAAATCTACTGCTTTCGGAAGAGGTACTAGGTACCCGATTCTGAAATTCAGAACTACCCTTGCCTGATACTACACAAGTGTCCTTCCACGGTCTTTCAGGCTCAGACAGCGGAAGGAGTTGTCCCTAGGATAAAAAGTCACGAAGGCTCGGAACGGCACGATTGGCCGTGACAGAAGCTTCACACATATTTCCATACAGAGGAAGGAGCTGGTGCCCACTCTGCGAGCGCCGTGCCTTGATGATGCGGCTGGGATCCACGCGTCGGAAGCAGATCAGGTCCGCCTCGAAGTCGATCACGGCCCCAAGCGACCGTAACGTTGACACACTCATCAAGATGGGCCCGGCACCAGTGTCCAACGTGTGGATGGTCATGGTGCCCTCTTTTTCTGCCGCCTGGATGGCCAATTCCACGGTCGAGGCGCACTTGTTCTCAGAGCTATTGCCGAAGGAGAAGACGGGTTGGCGCTTGGTGTCCACGTGGCGTAGACGGGAGTCTCCGGAGTCCTGCTTGTTGCGGTCCAGTACATTCTGGACTGCCGTAATGCTACCAATGGTTTTGGTAGCCCCCCCATCTACTACACACCATCCTCGCTTGACCGCCTCTGCTGTGGTCATAGCTGCGGTTTCCGTCGACGCCGACAAGGCCAGCTCCGCATAGCAAACAAATGGAGCTTGTTCCACATCACCTTCATCCGTCATCTTCGCCTGGCCGTGGTTCTCGTCCTTCTTGGGGCAGTTGGCAGCCCGGTGGCCGATTTGGCCGCATTTGAGACACTGCATCTGGCTGTCATCGCGGCTCTGTCCAGGCTTCCAGGTGGTAGTCTCCAGGTTGTAGGCTTGTTCCCTTTTGGCGGCCCACCCCGGAAATACTGTCTAGAAAGCTTGACCTGTTGTTGCTTGGCCCTGGCTTCCTTCAAGGTTCGCTTGCCCTGCTGGATGATGGCCATCGCGTGCTGGGCCTCGTCCTCGTACTCGGCCACGAGAGCCTGCCCTGTCTCGTTCAAGTAGTCCACCTGGAGGCCCTCTTGGTAGTCGCCGTCGGACTCAGCCTCTGCATCTTCACCCATGTAGCTCGCTTGCGTCCTTCCATGTCCATCCCTCTGTCGAAGGCTTGATTCGTCCCATTGGGAACGAAGTTCCTGTGCCACTCGTTGCAATGAGTAGTCTCCTTGAATTGCCGTATGAATCATGTTCTTGTCGCCGACTCCCAATCCACTGTCTGCCAGTAAGTACCAGCCTTGGACAAAGTCGGGCAGGATCTCCACCAGCGGCTTGTGGGTCGGGGTCCTGGTCCAGGTAGAAGAGGACTGGGTGTCCCATCTGTCCCAGCTGGTCTGCCAGGAGGCCTGTCCCCTCCAGGACCAGCCCGCGTGCCAACCTCCCCATCTCCACTGGTCATCTCCAGCACGGTCCCCATCATCCACGTCCTGCTCAGCGGCGTTGGCCTCGGTGGTTTCACTGACGGGGGCAGCTGGCTGTCCCACAGGTTCTCATCCGGTGACCTCGCTGGTGGTGGAGTCTTGACTCACGCGTCGACTCCAGCTGGGCGTCCAGGAGGACATCCTGCCGTGGTCTTCGGCAGTCTTGCTTGCGTGGTGAGGAAGTACTCGTTGAAGAGCTTGCTGGGCCCTCAGATAAGTTTCACACTTCCGGGTGATATAATCCGGCATGCTTTCTTGACTGCGACGACGTGTCTGCTTGAAGTACTTCGTCAAGAAGTCCGCAAGTTCCGACACCTGAGGTCTGCCTAAAGAGGCTCGCAGCGTTGACAAAAGCAGTTGAACTCCACCTGGGAAACTTACCCAGTCGGGGGAACGGCCCACGACCAGCCGTTTGGCTGGTCCTTGCAATTCACTCAACAACCTTGGTCCCACCATGTATCTCTTGTAGTACTCCTGGCTTTGTTCATAGATCAGGCACTGTTCTTCGTACTCATTGAACGTAGCACTTTCTCCGTTCCACTGTGGAACGCCCTCCTTGTTCCGTGTGATTGCTCCAGCTACCGACATGCCTTCTGCCTGCGGCCCCCGCGGCAAGCAGCACTGGTCCCTGGATCTCCCAAACTCGTTCTCGGCGCCTCCAAGAAAGGAGGCTCCGCTACCGTGCAAGCCGGTAGCGCTGGCAGTAACCACACTTGCACAAGCTGAAGTGAAGCTTCGGAAGGAGCCACAGGCTAGAGACGCTAGGACGGTATAAACGGCCCTTCTATCCTCTCTGCCTGCAGGCTTCTTGTTTTCCCCTGAGCATTCGTAGCTGTGGTGTAGCCAGCAATGCGTTACAGCACACAAGTGATTCACTTGCAACCCCTAAACCCTAAACCCTAAATCTTAAACCAGCAGTCTGACGAGTCGCAGATCTCTAGGGAGTGTCGGGAAGCTTCATAAAAGTAGGCTGTAGCACAAGGGAGGCCGAACTCCCGAAACCCCAAGCCCGAAACCCTAGGGTTTAGGGTTTTAGGGTTTTAGGGTTTAGGGTTTAGGGTACCCTAAACCCAACCCTTCGGCGCTAAACCCTAAGGCTGCCTTTGACGACTTCCCTCACCCAACGCAGCTTGTACTGATTTTTAGAGTACCATACTTGAATACTTTTTTTTGGACCTGTTCCTTAAAGGAACCATTAGAAATGAAAAGTCTATACTTTTTTCTCCCTGGTTGCCTCAAAGTCCAGTATATATAGAAGCCTGAAAAGTTGCTTTTTCCTCGGGGATCCCATTACCGCCAAACCTTGTATAGGTGTTCTAATTCATGCAGGAGCCTGATTACGACACACTGGCCCTAAGACCCCGAAATATAGTAGTACTCATATAAAACACAAAACACCCTCGTCAAAAACCCAAAGTTTCTTAATCAGGTTCCAAGATTATGAAGGCTGCCTTACCCATAGGCCCCTGAGTAGTCCCTTTTTGGGATTACCTTATAGGATTCTGAATATGAACCACAAAAAAGAACTACCTATGGGCGGCCTATGGGTATACCCTAAACCGTATACTAACGTCGAGGCTCCTCCTCGATGAAGCCAATCTGCAATCCATGCGTGGCCGCGGCTTTCGTGACTTCCGCGGCAACGACCTCTTTTTCGAGCCTTGCCCTCATACGAGTTTAGGGTGTAGGGTTTAGGGTTTAGGGTGCCTCATACTATGGGTGCCTCCATACATGGAAAAGAGTTGGAGTTGCACGGAAAGTTAATATGGGTATTGCAGAGGGATACTGGTGTACAGTATACATGTCTTCATTTGTAGGTGCTTTCAAGAATGGGATAGGGTTGTGCGATCAATTATCTAGGTGCATCTTAGTGGTATTTAAAGTGTCATTTGAAGTGTCCAGGCCGCTACATAATCTGCCTCAGGAGGACTGTATGAGAATCGGTGACAAGAGCAAAACGGAACAACGCAGTTGATGTTTCACCAGCTGACCTATAGGGATGAATATCAATACACCGGCTGGAGATCGTAGCAGCTTTGGTGCCCAGTGCTAGCCGCTAGCCGTTTCATCCCTGTCACCGTCGTCAGCATGTTTTGCTAAGGCTATGTTCGACAGGGTTCCACGGCTTCTTCAAAATTAATGTGACTTCCGAAGCTTGTTGCAAGCCCGAAGCCCTTCAAGACATGTTTCCTCACCATTGCGTCCCTGACACCAATACCACATGCCTTCGTGACCTCACTTGGAGGCTAGTTACTAGTTATAACAGTTATAAGTGGGGTTATAAGCCCCCGAATATGGGTATAATAATATCTATAGTTATCCTACTTATAGCCCCATTAATATCTATACCCATACGCCCCCTCAACCCCTCGTCAGGCCTGCACCGAAAAGCCCACACAAACTGAGCCAAAGCCCAGCGCCCAGACCCTCCGGTCGACGCCAAGCCCTTCAGCCCTGAATCCCAACGCCTGAAGCAGGGTGGGTTGAGAGGTTATAGGGTTTAGGGTTTAGGGATTTAGGGTTTTGGAGTTTAGGGTTTTGGGGTTCAGGGTTTAGCGGTTTAGGGGTTTAGGGTTTAGGGTTTGGGGTTTACTAGGTGGCACTTCAGGGAAACTTGAAGATATCCCTTGTGGTCCTTATAAAGGTACCTGTTCAGAAATCCTTCCAAGGGGCCCAAATCTACAACCCAGTTAAGGTAACCCCACCCCTAAACCCTGAACCCCTAAACCCTAAATTCCTAAACCCTTACACCTTAAAGCTTAAGCCTCCAGTTCCAATCATTGAGCCCGAAGCCAGGGCCGCGAGGCCCGACTGAGGCGAGATCGGTACTGTAGGGGCCTTAATAATTGGAATTTGGGCTTTGGGCTCCTTTATAATACTATAGCTATAAGAAGGAGCCCTAAGGAATAACATTGGTAGCTGTTTTGGCTTCTATAGAAGTTTTCTATATAAATTAGGATCCCTCTGTAGGGGGTCCCCCTTAACAGGGATGGATAAGGATTTCTCTAAGGGTTCTGTACTGGAGAACTGCCCAGATGGTGTCTGTGTGTGTGTGTGTGTATTTTTCGGGGTTTATGGTGCCCCGGTGGGTAAAAGAAAATAACTTCCTGCTTCAAACTTAAACACTAAAGCCCCAACAGCTAGAAACCCTAAACGCTTCAAGCCCTTGTAGAAACAGTGTAGACCCTTATCGCACCCCGTAGTTATGCTATGATATACACCAGAATACTGTTCTAATGATGGAGGGCTCTATTCTGCACTGAAAGTACTCTTCAAAGCAATCCTTATATACAAGCAACCATAGGAACCCTAAAACCCTAAACCCTCAAACCCTAAAGCCCTAAAGCCCTAAACCCCTAAAGCCCTAAAGCCCCAAGCCCCTAAACCTCTAAAGCCCTAAGGCCCTAAACCCCTGAAGCCCTAAAGCCCTAAACCCCTAAAGCCCTAAGGCCCTAAACCCCTAAGGCCCTAAAGCCCTAAACCCCTAAAGCCCTAAACCGTCCTAAAGCCCTAAACCCCTAAGGCCCTAAACCCCTAAACCCCTAAGGCCCTAAAGCCCTTGAAGGATCTCTTGGTTCTGGACGACCAGGGCGATCCCGAAGAGGCTTCAAACTCTTGCCATCTGAGACTTTGGCCTTTAGGGTTTAGGGCTTAGGGGTTATGGGTGTTTTTGGGTTTAGGGTTTAGGGTGTAGGGTTTAGGGTTTAGGGCTTGGGGATTTATGGGTTTGGGGCTTTAGGGTTTATGGCAGTTTATGGTTTAGGCCGTAAGGCTTAGGGTTTAGGGCTTTGAGGTTTAGGCTGCGTGCTTTAGCGTTTAGTTCGGGTTTGGGGCTTGGGGCTCAGCGTTTGGGGGTTGGGGTTTTGGGTAACTGAGAGGCTTTAGGGCACCTTGAGGATTTGTGTAGTAAAGGGGGTCTTAATGCTTAGAATAGGGATTTGGGCTATTTTGTAGTATGTTCATAGCCCGGATCCCTAAGGGATAATATTGGTAACTGTTTAGGCTTCTATAGAAGCCCTCTAAATTAGGATCCCTCTGTAGGGGTCCCTTAAAAGGGATGGATAGGGGTTTCTCTAAGGGTACTATAAGGGTTCTGTAATTTATTACGCCTCTTCACTATCAGTGGAGGTTTTGGGGCCTGGCTGGTGGGCTTGTGGGCTTTGATTCAGTTTGTGGCTTTCCGGTTTCCAGGATCGAAGTTGAGGGCTTAAGTTGAACCGAAGCTGTTGAGCCCTATCTATGCATGCAAACATTCGCATATTGTATGTGTATATATATGCACATATATATATATATGAGCCCTATCTATGCATGCAAACATTCGCATATTGTATGTGTATATATATGCACATATATATA